GGACATGGAATTTTATTTTCATCCGTCTTTTTCAGATACACATAACATACATTTTTCATGTCTTAATAATTCCTTACCCTTCAATTTTAGTAAGTTGTAAGGATTCTTGCATAGGCGAATTTTTTTTTAGAGAAAAAAGTAAAAAAAAAAAAACTTATATTATAGTTTTCTCTTCATACATAGTCAGTGGCGATCCTTCCTTCTGGCGGCTAGAGCCCAGTGTACTACCGTCTTCCCCCGAACACAAGGCACCCTTATTTTGGCTGTATCTGGCCGGAAATATAGCTTGTATACATTCATTTTTAGGGTGCGTTATGTTCGGGGGAAGACGGTAGTGTCCGTTGTTGTTGTGCAAAGGAGAAGGTCGCAAAGAGTTGGGGTAGTACATTATCCTTATCCTGCTGCAGCACGGGGGCCAAGTCCCACTAGCAGCGTTGAGCTACCTCAACGCCTGAATCTGGATGTGTTTGTGGAGACGTGCAGTTCAGGAAACTCGACACCATTTCTGCACATCTCCGCAAAAGCGTCCAGATTCAGGCGTTGAGGTAGCTCAACGGTGCTAGTGGGACTTGGCCCCGGGGCCAGAGGAATGATCTTCGACATAAAAGAGACTGCGGACTTTTTTCTTTTTTTTTTTAAATAACAAACTCAGTTCTTTGGAAGAGATTGCGGACGTTTTTTTTTTTTTTTTTTTGATGAAAACCTCAGTTTTTACAGGAGATTACGGACGTTTTTCTTTTTAAGGAGGAAAACTCACAATTCAACTTATATAACTGACAGCATCAGCCAGCTTAGCTTACAGGCTCTCTAGCCTGTGGAAAGACACTGCTACTGACCTTCCAGACTTCTGAAGACGTTATCAATCAGTGGACTTGGCGGACGGTTCCCTCCCCCCCCCCCCCCCCCCCCCTCCTTCCCCCTCAAAATTCAAATTCCATTGCATATTTCAAATTACAGGCCGGGGGGACCTTTGCATTTCTCCCAGATAGCAGGGGTTCCTTACGGGAAGCATCATCCAGGTTAGCTTACGGGGGCTTAAATGGCCTGTTGCCTGCAAGTCTTTTTTTTTTTTTTTTTTTTTTTTTAAGAAAAAAGCTCAGGGTGTTATACAAATCGAGGACCAGACCCGTGGTGATTGCTGGCAGCATCAGCCAATGGTTGTTCTGACAGGATAGGCCACCCACCCTACCCAACCCCACGGTATAATGGCCTGCCTACAGACTCCGCCGCTCTCAGGCTGCCTCCTACTTTCAGTAAGCCTGAACTGCTATTGTATATACTACTCTACATTCTACCACCCCTAATCTCTACTCCTATCGTCTTCACCCGAATAGAACGCCTGGTCATTAACGCTGCGCCTGGACTGAAAAGTGCCCCAAATACAGCTATAATGACAGGGCGTTATATTCGGGTGAAGACGTCTAGTTAATGTACACAGGCGTCTCCTCCTAATACCGTCACCTAAGTCGGGACTGTGGGACAAGAGTTGTTGTTCCAGGAGCCTAAGGAGTTATCTACAGACTACAGATATACCAACCCCCTCCCTAACACGGGAGTGGGGAACCTAATTTGGTCCCAATGGGACCACGACGCTCCTCCCACCTGCCCCACGTATCTTTCTTTCTTTCTTTTTCTTTTTTTTTCTTTTTCTTTTTTTTTTTTAACGTATCTTCCAACTACGGCTTTCCTCCT